AAAAAAATAAAATAAAAACACTTAGAGAACAACTAGACTGAAAAACAAAAGGACAGCAACTTGTCTGTTCCCCTTCCCCGATTCCTCAACGCTGTTCCCCTCCCCTAACTCCCCAATAAAATCTTTTTAAAAACACACAAAAAAACCACTTAGAGATAGGAGATCCAACATGGCGGAGTAGATAAACACGGTGCCTGCATCCTCCAATGAACACGTTAAAATTACAACTAAATTATAGAACAATCAACCTGGAGAACCATCTGAAGTCTAGCCAAACAGATGTCCTATAGCTAAAAAATATAAAAAGAAGCCACGATGAGACTGGTAGGAGGGGTGAAGATGCAGAACAAGCCCCAAACCTCCCTGCGGCAGTTGATAATCAGGAGAATCTATACCATGGAGTTTCCCCCTGGAGGAGCAAGGGACCCCAGCCCCTGACACCAGGCTCTCCAGCCTGGAGTACTGGTGCCAGCAGGAGGAGCCCCCACAACATCCAGCTGTGAAAAACACTGGGGATTCCAACCATTCGGGTGGGATGGAAAGCTACAGGAAACCCAGATGTCCTCTTAAACAGCGCATGCACAGACGCACTCATTCGCAGGCACTCACCTTGGGCTCCAGCGAAGGGACAGTGACTTGGGGACCTCGGAGACATACGGGGGGCAGATTGAGGAGTGCAGCTTCAGGGAGAGGACTGGAGGACACTCAGCATTTTTCCAGTGAGAGGTCTTTCTCCTGTTCAGCCAGCAGGCAGGAGCCATCTTTCCTATGTTGAGCCTGCCCCCACAGGCCAAATCTGAATCTGATTGGCGTGGTGAGCTCCACTGCGCTGCCCTGTTGACTCAGCTGGGAACCCATCCCACTCAACTCATGCACAGTTGGAGGCGCTTTTTCCAAGAGCAACCAGCCCCTCCCACATTGCACTCTTTCTTGGAAAACTATTGAAGTCCACAGGCCCCAGGCAAGTGGTGACTGGTCTTTGTGTGCTGAGACTTTTGCTGAGTAGCTCCAGGCTCGGCACTGGCAACAAACCAGAGTCTACATTAACTTGGAGATCACAACCCTTCCCACTCTAGTGACTCCCTGAGGCCCTGTTTCACCCATCTTGCATACCGCAGAAGGCTCATCAGTGGCTGAACCTTAAGGGAGCCAGCATGTGGCAGCAGGCCTCTAGTGTCCTAGCTCTTTGAAGAGCTACCGCAGGCACAGTACTGGTGACAGTTGTCCTCTGTTTGCAGCGTGGCCTCTCCCATGGGCCTCCAGTGTTATCACAGGCAGTGAACAACAGTGGATCACTTTGTAGCTCCTATCAGGTAGCCCCCAGCCAGTCACAGGCAGTGGGTGATCTGGGCCTGCACTGGAGCCCCTCCCAAAAGGCCCGAGAACCAACATACTTGGAAGTTGGCTTCAGACCAGAGCAGAGCACCACCCAATTAGCCCCACAACTGGCACACACAAAGGGCAATCTCAACAGGCACCAGAGCCCACTGGGGCAAATCCCACTCAGTGGGGTAAGGCTCCTACACAGCAGCCCATAAGCTGTGGATGTGGCCAAACCCCAGAGCCATTCAGCCTGAGGGTCAATCTCACCCAGTGATGTGCCAATAGCAATCAAGTCTCAAATATAACAGGAGAGTACACACAACCTACACAAGGGACACTCCTGGAGCAGTCAGCTCAGGTGACCAAGGAGACTGTGCCAGGGCCCCACAGGGCACCTACTACATAAAGCTACCCAACAAGACTAGGAGACATAGCAGATCTACCTAATACATAGAAGCAAACACAGAAAGGCAGCCAAAATGAGGAAACAAAGAAATGCATCCCAAATGAAAAAAACAGGAAAAATCCAGAAAAAGAACTAAATAAAATGGAGGCAAGCAGCCTACTGGAGACAGAGTTCAAAACACTGGTTATAAGGATGCTCGAGGGAGTTAGTGAGAACTTCAACAAAGAAATAGCAAGCAAAGAAAAAGGACATAGAAACCATAAAAAAGAACCATTCAGAAGTGAAGAATACAATAACTGAAATGAAGAATGCACTAGAGGGAACCACCGGCAGATTAGATGAAGCAGAGGATCAAATTAGCAAATTCTGACACATGCTATGACATGGATGAACCTTGTGGACATTATGTTAACTAAATGAAATAAGCCAGAGACAAACAGACAAATGCTTTATGATCCCACTCCTGTGAGGTACCTAAAGTAATCAAAATCATAGAGAAAGAAAGTAGAATGATGGTTGCCAGGGACAGGGGTTGGGCGGGGGGAGGGGTATTATTGTTTAATGGGTATAGAGTTTCAGTTTTACTAGATGAAAAGAGCTATGGAGATAAATGGTGGTGATGGTTGCACAGCATTATGAATGTATTTAATACCACTGAACTGTACACCTGAAATGGTTAAGACGGTAAATTTTATGTTTATGTATTTTTTTAATATTTTTAAAATTGGAAGGAAAAAAGAGCACGCCAACCAAGAGTGTTCCTTTGAAGTGGGTTTCCTGGAAGCCCACCCAGCCATACTTGCTTACATCTCACTGGCCAGCGCTAGGTCCCAATGTCCCATGGCCACTCCTAGGTGAAAGATGGTTACAGAGAAGGGAGCAGAGGTGGGGCCTGGTCAGCCATATACAGTGTCTGCTGCAATATTTGGACTGAAACACGTTAGACAAGCTGCCAACAGCCCGTGTTCCGCACCCCCTGCCCCAGCTCACCCAACTTCCCTCATCCTCCACAAGCCCTTCCCTGTGGACTTTAGGCTCACGTACCACACAAACGCACCCTCTGTCCCTTATGTCCATCCTCTTCGACTCCCTTAGTCACCACATAACATCTGTTTATTCACCTGCGACCTGAGTCAGCACCCCCCGCTCCCAGGGCCCCATTCCTCCCCTGTACTTAGGGGCAAAGGGGCTCATCTCACGTCCACCCCTCTGACAGGCTCACCCTAGTCACTTCCTGCAGCTCTGAGACTGTCTGTCCTCCCGGTACAATGCTGCCACTGCTGCCCGGCAGACGCAGGGACCACGGGGAGGTGTGGACGAGGCCACACTTCTGCTACCCTCCTGCCTCCTCATTCCCATGACTGCACCCCCCTGGGGCTGTACACTTGACTGCAGAGTTGGCAATATGGGTGGAACTGAAAAACAGCGGAGAAACATTAAAACTGCATCCTCCATGTGATTGTCACCAGAGCTCCGGGAAAAAGACAGACGTTAAACCCAAGGCGTCTCCTTCCTTCTACTTGGAGGCTTGACTTCCTCCTCATCACTGAACCACACACCTACCACCCACTTCCCAGTGCAGAATCCTGCCCCACCGTGCTCAGGGGTGCCGCTGGCACCGTCTGTGGAACACTCTGGCAGGGCACATTGGCCGGCGACCCAGCTCTTCTAGCTAGAGCAGCTGTATTAGTTTCCTCCTGCTGCTGTAACAAGTAACCACACAATTGGTGGCGTTAAGCAACACTGATTTATTATCTTTCAGCTCTGGAGGTCAAAAGTCCTAAAAACAAGGTGGCAGCAGGGCTGTGTTCCTGGAGGCTGTAGGGCAGAACGTGTTTCCTTGCCTTTTTCAGCTCGTAGCACGTGACTTGGCGCACGGCCCCGTCCTCCATCTTTAAAGCCAGTGTGGTCTCTC